CAAAGCCGTAGTATTGTTAATTTAAATAAAAAAAAAAACGTAGGATCCTTGCTTAAAATCGTGGTGCAAAGTAATGGGGTTGACTTTCACTATTGCAGTTATTGTTACTAAGTGAAACGAACTATGAATAATATGGCATGTGCTCTTACAAAATTGAAGTTGTGGTTTGCACTACTCTGTGTATATACATATATCCGCTTATCGTGTGTTCCTCGGGAAGTTTGAATCTCAAAGCTGGTCTCTGACTGTTTTTGTAATGCCCAGATTTTTAATTACTATTTATGGAGCTCGACTATATTTCTATAAATATTAAGTTTCTAAATTTGATGCATTTATTATATTTATTTGCATTAAATTAAGTAATTAGTATTAAAGTCTAAGCCATGAATAATTCATTCGACTTTAATTATTAAAGTCGGAATTTTATTTAAGCGAACCGAGGCCGCATAATTTGATTATTCGAGCCCAATTAATTTTGAGAATCCAAGTAATTATAGCCGTCCCATTTTTAATTCGAGTAGTCAAATTAATTTTCAAGACCAAGCGATATTTTAAATATCGAGCCCTCGTAGTATTTTAATTTCAGGCCCAATATTTAATTTCGGCCCAAGTCGAAATTGTTACTACAAGCCGTCATATTTTTAATTACCCGACCATTTATACTCCTAAGTCAAGTCTAGTAAATATCCGAGCCCAAGTCGTTAAAAATCGAGCCCAATATCTTAGCCCGATTATGTAGAGATTTCAAGCTCGGTTCTTGGCCCAACAAGAGAAAACCCTAAGCTCATATGCATATCTATAAATAGCTTGTCTCCTATTCTCCAACATCCAACAAAACCCTAGCCTACATATTACTATTCATCATAATCTTCCTTGCAAAATTCAAGATCCCTCCTAAACCATCAAGAATCCATAGCTAAACCTTCAAGATCCATGCGTTGAGCTACTTTTTCCGGCCACCACTCCCGGTTTTCCGGCAAAATTCCGGCAAAACCACAGCTTTTCTCAGCCCTCAGCTCCCTCCCGCCTTCAAGCTCGGCCAGCCCTCAACTCAGCATTTTCAGGCGAGCTCATCTCCTCAGCTGCGTCCAACCCGAAGCTCCCGCGCGACCAGGCCGACAACTCCTCTCCCACACGCCTCCGAGCTCGGTTTTTGCACCACCTTGCACCATCGTGCCGTACAACCACGACCTTCCCAGACAGCACCACCGTACGCGCGCCTTGAAGCTCCCAGCCCAGCCAAGCTCTCGACCAACCGAGCCCAGCACCTCCGGCGAGCTTGCCTCCGTCCTCAGCAGCTCCGACGTTCTCCTCTCCACAGCTTCCAGCCACCGCGAGCCCGAAACAACCACCACTGCTCAGCCCCATTTTCCGGCGGCCTAGTCCCGACCAGCAGCTCACGACCTTCATGGTTCCAGCCCCTCCATGCGTCACTGCTCACGTCCACGACCGTGCACCTGGGCCCAACAACCATCGCGTGCCTCCCCAAGCTCGAGCTTGTTCCATGTTCGGCGACAACGGCTTTTGAGCTCGGATTTCGCACCACCTACACCAGGGCCGACCGGATCTACGTTCAGCACCTCAGATCTAGGTTGTGCTGCCCCCATTCGAATCGATTTGCTCTTTCCCTTTATTTCGTAGCCGATCTATCTTTCGGCCCGCCGTTTTCGCACGATTTAAGGTATAATAACTAGATCCCGGTTTTGATGGCTTAGACATAATATTTGATATGATATAAAAGTATAAATTTGATTATTTGAGCGGTTTTGAAAAAAAAAGGGACATACAAGCTTAAAGCCGTTTTTTGGGACCCATTGAAATATATGTGATAAAATACCGAAATAAATACTATAAAATCCGTTACGTCGTTTTGAGTCTTAGTTTGAAATTCGAGATTTTTCGGACTTCATTTGATAGGTAAACGAGCCGGTCAAATGCTTTGACCGGTCGTAGCGATTTTTGGTTGACTAGTCTAGGAGTTGACTTTAGACTTGACTTGTTGACCGTGGACCATACATATATTGAGGATGTTATGTTTCGATTTTCGTAAAGTTTGGATGTTGTTTGACTTAGTTATAAAAATCGGGACTTTAGATATTAATGCCGTAAAAATAAAATATTAGTTTGATTGAGATTTTAGCTGCAGTTGTGGATTATAGATTTATTATAAATCACATAGAATATGTATATTAATTATTGGCCTTAAATGAGTTAAAATTCTTCGAGAATCGAACCCTAGTCTTATCCGGTTTCGATAACCGAGTATTTTTCGGATCCGATTATAATTGTCGGAACCCTAGTACTGTCTAGATAATCTTTAACCATCGTAGCGTAATTCGTAATGTATATCGTCGTCTCGTGCCTGTGATCGCCTCTCGTCCGACCGTTGGAGCTGAGCCGCCGAGTGCGTGCCCGTGCACCGAGTCTGAGTCAAACCTTCGAGTGCGTGCCCGTGCACCGAGTCCATCTGACTTTCCGTCTACGCGTCGTTCCATTAGCCGTGGTCTAAGCACGCCCCTGCGTCAGTGACCGTGGTACCGTTTTAAACTCGTGCATCGGCTAAGCCGTGTCAGTCGAGTTCGTGCCGGCACGAGTTGCCCCGCCGAACTCGAACCACGGTCGAACCGAGCTGCACATAGTCAAGCGGATGATCGACCGGCTCCGAGTGAGCCGTTGGTCCAGTTCAGTCGAACCGGTCCGGTCAGTCCGGACTGTTCGAAATATATTTCAGATAAAATGTCAGATAAATTTCAGATGCGGTCAGATTAAGATTTTAGATATATTTAGGATTTCAGATGTAATTAATATTTCAGATAAAGTTAAGATTCCAGATAGACATTAAGATTCATATATAGATTAGATTTCAGTCAGATTTTAGTCCAGACTTAGAAATATTTCAGAGAACTCTAGAATGCCTCAACGACGATAATATTTTCAAAATCAGCTCGTAAATCCCTAAAATGATTTTTAAAGCAGAGTGAGCGAACCTAGACAATAGATATTAAATATTTGAGTTTTATTCTGAGCCTCGTACTTAGAATATTTCGTTCATAATTTGTAGCTTGAGGAGAGTCGAGCCTCTCCCTGCTACACAGCATATTTCAGATACTTCAGCATCCGCATTCGCCGTTTTCCAGGTGGGGACCATGTACTGTGTATTTCATCGCTTTTAATAATTTACCATGTCTGAGATCTATATGTGTTTAAATTGAAGGACCGAGACGGATGAGTGATCCAGTCTTAGTCAATATTTCAGTATTTCAGTTATGACTTGGATGTGTGTGATTAGGGCCCGTCCTAAGTCTAGCGTCCAGATGGGGTGATTAGTGCTTTTCCTGGATTTCTGTGAGAGGGGACCCCCAGAGTGTGCACATGAGTACCGGTTTATTGTTAGTCCCATAGTCAGACCAGTTTATTCATATATATGTTGATTTCATAGTTTGTTATTAATTGTGCTGAGTATTCAGTGTCGGTTCCGGCGGAGCACCATTGATTCCTTTATGCTCACGCCTCCCCACTACCCTCTTTTTCAGGTGACGGAGTGCGTGCAGCGTGAGCAGATATGTGGTGTTGGTCCAGCTTCAGGACATTTTTGTGAAAACATGTCATATAGTATTTGAACATGTTGAAGTATCTATGTCTGTTTTATGCTTGTTTGTCTTTTAAACTTGTACTTGCTTCCGCATGTTAGACTTGTGTTTCAGATGTCAGATTTTAGACAACTATTTCAGATTTCAGATTATGTCAGACTTTCAAAATATGCATGTTTAATCCAGTATTATTCATGGCCTTAGTTCTAGAATGGATTTCACTTGGTCGCATGCATTTAGATTAAAGAGATAAAGATTAAAGATAAATATTAAAGTTGAGCAGCATCCCGCGTCTTAAAGTTAAAGTATTTTCGAAAAGTTAATATGAGTTTTCGAAAATTAAATCAGTCTCTTTCCATTTATTGCACGAAAAATTTACTCTGATTTTAGTAAGTCTAGGCGGGGTGTTACAGTTGGTATCAGAGCCACTTATTGGTTCTGTATACTGAAATTTTAGTGAGATATGACCACTCCACGCTCACGCCACGCCGACTCCGAGGTACGTCACCTGTACAGCTTTTATTTGTGAATGCATATTTAATTATAGTCAGATTATTTCAGGGGCGTTAGATCTATCCTTCGATTAAGATTTGAGAATTCTAGTCAGAACTCTAGCAAGGACTTAGAAGATTTTAGTGTACCCGGAACTCTAGCCAAGCTAGGTGTTTTCGGAATTCGATAACTTATTAAAGTATAGTGTAGCTATTTATTAATCCGCTATACTGCTTCAGTTAGAATCTCAGCAGAGATAGTTAACTTTGAGAATTTCTGTTAACTTTCTTGAGTAATTAATTCTCCGTCAAATATTCAATACTTTCTGCTAATCC